TTGAGAAAAATCTGAGTTAGGTGAGATTTTGGGAAATATGGTAATGTATGAAAGAATTAATAATGAATTTGATAACATGAGTGGATATTCAAGATGATAGGGATCCCATATGACTTTACAAAATCAAATTCGGATGAGCAGAACTCCTGAAATTGATCTTAAAGTAGATGGGTAGTGTTTGAACATCAAGGGTTGAATGTGTATTGTGAAATGGGGGTTTAAAAATTTGAATTTTGAGATTCTGTCTCTATGGAAGGCCCAGGGCTTCTTTGGCAGAGTGGGGCCGCTACAACAGAGCATTTGAGACTTAAATGGGTAAGAAGCCACCAAAATATTACTTTCTGAAAAACTTTAATTCTTGAGAGCTAAGAGATAACCCAGGGTAAGTTTTTGATAGTTTTCCACAACTTTTAGTGTATAAGGTAATATTATTACTCACTTAATCCATTTTTGATCCGTAGAACTTAGATTCTTGGGTAATTATCATTTAGGGGGGGGGGGGTTTGCCGTAAAGTTAATGGTGGGAAAAGACCTAAATGAACATTAGGATCTTGGGTTTGGTCTAAGATTGATAATGTCAATTATAATCCGAGTAATTAATCCTTGTTTATTTATCCTTGCATTAATTGATTGTTTTTATACTAAGAACAAGTGAAAAGAATCCGGATATTGAAGATTCAAGTGTCTTAGGTGGATTCAAACTTGATTTTAAGGTAGGTGATAGTTTGATTTCCTATATGTGTAATGTATTTAGTTAATTGCTTCATTGTATGCATGTGTATATGTGAATAAGGCAATGTGAACTAAATATGATGAATGATCATGTATGAACAACTACATGCCATGATCCCAATGCTTGATTATATGACTATGAGAAACATCATGATGAGTGTTATTATGATTGTGGTTGTGCTAATTGGATCAGGTGTCACGTTTCGACATATGCAGTGGATCGGGTGTCACGTTCCGACACATATATTGAATCGGGTATCATTTTCTAACACATATATTCGATCAGGTGTCACATTGCGACGCATACTTTGGATAGTGCATCACGTTCTCACACACTAACAATTTGGGTGTGGGTTCAATAAGAGGACCATTGTGATTATTACATCCATGTGTATTATTATTGATAATGTTGAATTGTATATTTCTCTTGAAATGGTAACTAATCTATATATTATGTATTTTTTTGCTTAACTAATCTATATATTATGTATTTTTGTGCTTACTGTGTTGTAATTACTTGCCTGTATTTGGCATACTAGGGTGGCTACGTGATCCTACTAGTACAATGAGATTGTGTACTGATACTCCATTTGTTCGTTCTTTATTGAGTACATGACATCTTCAAATGACTATGGATAGACCCCATTAAAGAAATTAGTGATCACGACCGCCTTTTTCGAACTTACTACGGAGCTCGGGGCTTTGAGATTTCCTGTGATGGTGGAATTTAAGGGTAAGCCAGTTCTTTCAGACTCCATGGATCCTTTAGTTTTGTTTAGTCCATTCTCTTTGGACTCAGACTAGTTTTAGACATTTATTATGTCAGCTTCGGGGTTTTTCCCCTTTTTCTTAGACTTTTTGAACTTTTGAGTTTTGGTACAATAATTTTCAAATTCTAGGGGTTGTTTTCCGCAATAATTTTGATAATTGTTTATTTAATCTTTCAGAGTTTATGGGAACTCTATTTTAATTCTACATTTAAACCTTTTTCGTATCTTTAAATATCTAGCTTTTTGTTAAGTTGCTCAGTCGGATTGTAGTAAAGGTTAGTGTGGGTGTCAATGACGATGATCTGGATCCTGACACATCATAGAGTAAATCCTTTAAACCATGATTTATGCATGTGCGAGAAACCCTTTCATCAATCATGATTTCGTAATTATGTGTGGAAAAAAAAATACATGAAGCTTGAACCCTATATTTTCTTCCTTGAAGCTTGAGAGGATTTGAAGGGAATGAACTTCAAAGAGATGTGAAGATTAGAGAAAATGAGAATGTTTCGATAGGTTTAAGAATTGAAACCCCATTCATAGTTCTCAATTTTAAGTCCAAAATATCACTAAATTTGAATCCCTTCGACGAGACTCTTTCTAATATGACCCATAAACCTTACTACCTGTTAATTTCTTTTATAGTTCTGAGATCTTAAATCAAATTTCTGAATCATCCCTACGGACCAGTCCTACGATCCACTCAACTTCCTACAACTCATCCTAACTCTCGTAAGTCAACTTACTAGACTTTAAATTTCTAAAACTCAAATCAAGGTCTGTAATATACTTTCTATGTTGTGTAGAACCTTCTACAGTCTGTAGATGAGGCCCATAGTCACTGTACCAACACTAATAGCTGAACATTTTTTTTTTCAAGAATGGGATTTGTTTCAACTACTAAGAGTCTTAGATATATGCTAACATGAATTCTAATGTTAAATTTGGGCTATCAATGTTGCTTTAAATAGTTGATGACATAGTTAAGCAAGACTATTGATATTAATAACAATATTTCAATCTATCACTAAATTTCACTTGATTTTCTCAAACCCCAATGCATATTCAATTCTGAATATCCTATGACTTCAATTTAGTTAATCTATCTCTAAATTCAACTATTAAATGATAGAATTCAAGTAATTGCCAATTAATTGAGTCTTCTCACTCTTATTCTCTCTTGTTAGAGTAGAGTTCAAACTCCAAACATTAATTAAAATATGAAGAAATAATTGAACACAAATTATATCAATCATATTAGAAACAATTAATCAAACACCCAAATACATGAGGCGATTCATCCATCAAACACCTCTAAGAAATGGAAATTTAACTATGTATAATTAAAGGAACAATGAATATACTATTATCTTCAGCTGAATAAGACATAATCTCAATTCCACAATAGAATCAATAATCTAAGAGTAGAAATTATGTCCTCACCCAGAACCTAGATACTTGATTCACAATCTTCTCAAATTTTCAAAAGTGCATAAGTGAGGTTTGAAAATCAAAATTTTCTATTTACAAATGAGGAAAATCGAGGTCAAATTAATTATAAAGTTCTTTTCGCGTGAGTTTAGCGAGCTAAGAGTGACTTGCCAAATGGGCCTTACTCTCTCAACTTTTCTTCTTAATTTTATTAACTTCGATGACAAACATTTGTATCGCCAAACTACTTTGCTGACTCGCCATACTTGGTTTTTACAACTTTCATGCACATGCCTTGAGCTTTTTGTTAACTTAGGCAATCCACAAGTAGTTTGGCAACACACTAAATTCCTTGAGCAATATGGCCTTTCAACTTTTGCCTATTACTTCCATTTTTTTTTTTACTTATTTTCCCTTTAATTTTGCTAATTGAGTGCACTTTTTACTTCAATTCATAAAACTCAAAAAAACTAATGTACAATTTGTTCAAAATAGCATTGAAGACGCCAACATCACATTTTAAATCAAAATATGGGCCTTGCCCATTTATTAAAATAAAATAAGTCCTACTTGAAATGACTTGAAACCAAAAGTGAACCAGGCCCAAAATACTCAAAGCTAAAAAGAGCAACAAACAACTAAGCTTTAAAAAGAAAACTAGATGAGTCTAGAAATATCTTCTCCAATAAAAGGGACATCTCAGATTCTGGATCTCGTCATCTTCTTCGGCAAATCAAAAAGGGTTTCTCCGGCGGTCCTCACCTGTCATAAATGATGATAAAAAATGTAGTAAGCTTGAGCGACATCCACATGGGTGTCCAAAAATCTCAGAGACATCGTAGATCCAACCCAGACGTCATAGATCCAACCCGATCTAGACTTCTTCAGCTCATAACATTCTTCAATCATGTCCATTAAAGGTAAGAATCAAATCTGTGAACTAACTATTGAATCAATCATTATTGAAAGATTTATGTGATAAACCCCCAATTTGTGTAAGTTGAGCTCGAACGAGATGATACCACTGCATCACCTCGTTTAGAAGGTACATTCTCAAAACTGAACTAATTGACCATATTTACAAGAATTTAGGACAAACTTCATGTGTGTTCATAGTCAATTGAACAATAATCTTTAAGTAACTAGGAATTCCCTTTGAATTGTTATTATAATCATGTCGTTCTGTCATCCTTTTCTTTGAATTATGCTTTCACTAGTTACAAAACTTATGATGACACATCTTGTAATTTTATTGAGCTTTATGGATTTTTGTATTTTTCATTTTGGAACTTCCTTGTTCTAAGATTTGGTATTCTTTGTTCATTAATTTCGAGCAATTTTTATGCTTGTGCTGGTAAACTAGTCGTAGATAAGAGTTGATTACGTGTTGTAACGCAAAACTAAAAATATAGTTAGTTAAACAATCAATCACAATGTTCCCTCATCTAAAAATATGATTTACCACCACATCACTACTCTTTAATTTCTTCTCAATGCACCTTATGTCTATCGACTAATCATAGATCATGCCGACGATGATATGGAAGAAATGATATTAAAAAAAGGGTAAGAATATTAGAGGGGTTAGGTGTGTGGGCGAACTCACACAGACCTGAGTAGTGTAAGAATATTAGCTGGGGCCACCGACAACTTTGACACATGACACAGACATTTACCTCACTTTGGTGATCTAGTGGAACCTTCTCATCGATGGAGGCTCACTTGTTATAACCTACACATAGTCGTTCTCTCTCTCATTTGTAAGTCAGATGACTTTCTTATTCCCATAAATATAACAAGAATATACATTTTTGTTGTACAAGAAACATATATTTATTTTATCTTAGTTCTTATTTGAATCTTTATACGAAATTACCCTCAAATTTAGGGTTAGGACTCTCAAGCTCACCTACGTGCACTATAGAAGTATTGAAATTAGACTCTTTTACTCTTCAATTGCTTTATTTCATTGTATTCACTTTTCGTATTAACAATATTTAAAAATATTTTCGTAAGATAATCCCTCAAGTTATTTCATGATGTCAAGAGTTTCATTCACTTCTCGAGACAAGTCTCGAAGCACCCTTTGAGCCTTTAAGTATACCAATTTCGGATAAACGATATCCAAACATCTCTTCGTAACACAATATCTCAAGTTATCATGATGTCAAGAGTTTTGTTCACTTTTTGAAACTAATAAAAAAATGCAAGAATGTTATGTCAAAAGAAGAAGCAAAGGGAGTAAAGTAAGGAGGTTTATGTTCACACTCACGGCTTAAGGCCACCAGGCCCAAAACCATTGAAATTCGTGTCACCTGCTTCTCGTTTTCTCACACGCCTTTTGGGAGCATGTGTCATCAGCCCCCGAAAGAACACACCATATTACAACATTCAAATTTTCTCTCCCATTACATCTTTCATTTTCTGAAAACCCTAGGTACTCTTCCTCTCCCATGGTTTCTCTTTGTTATCCATTCTCTCTGTCTACTTTCTGAATCGATGTTGATCAAAATTCTTCTGAATTTCGGTTCGATTTTTCTATCCATCATATCTGTTTTCTGAATTTGTTGATTTTTTCTTGTGTTTATGCTTAATCCATCCGTTTATCGCTGTTTTGGCTGTTGATTTCGATAAAGTCCTTGTCTTTTGTTCATTTACTTTTAGTTTTGCCCTTGTGTTTGTGATCGTTTACTGGAGAACTGTTCTATCTGAAGTAGAAGTTTGTACTGGATTTGTAGTTGCCACAGTTGTATGGTTGTTTTTGGATAATCTTACCAAATGTGCGGATTTTTTTTGGAATTCTGTACTAATGTTGTAACATTTCACTGGTTTGGGGAAAAAACATGACTTTCAAGTTCTGATTTTTCCATGCATCCTATCTGTTTCCTAAATTTGTTGTTTTTCTCTTGTGTTTATGCTTAATCCATCCGGTTATCACTGTTTTGAATGTTTATTTGGATAAATTCGTTGTTTTTTGTTCCTTTGCTTTCAATTTTACCCTTGTTTTGAGATCGTTTACTGGAAACTATTATATCTGAAGTAGAAATTTGTACTGTATTTGTAGTTGCCACAGTTGTCTGCGATGTTCTTGGATAATCTTACCAAATGTGCGGATTTTTTTTGGAATTCTGTACTTATTGTTGTAACATTTCACTGGTTTGGGAAAAAACATTACTTTCAAGTTGTGATTTTTCTATGCATCCTATCTGTTTCTGAATTTGTTGTTTTTTCTTGTGTTTTTCTTCTATTTATTAATCCTCCGGTTATCACTGTTTTGACTGTTGATTTGGATAAAGTTGTCTTTTGTTCCTTTGCTTTCAATTTTACCCTTGTTTTGTGATCGTTTACTAGAAAAACTATTCTATCTGAAGTATAAGTTTGTACTGGATTTGTTGTTGCTACAGTTGTATGCTATGTTTTTGGATAATCTTACCAAATTTGTAGGTTGCCTTTTGCAATTCTGTACTTAATGGTTGAACCTGCACTGGTTTGGGAAAAAACATTACTTTTAAGTTATGATTTTTCTTTCCATTCTATCTGGTTTCTCAATTTGTTGATTTTTTTCTTTATTTTATGCTTAGTCTATCTGGTTATCTCTGTTTTGACGGCTGATTTTGATAAAGTCGTTGTCTTTGTTCATTTACATTCAATTTTACCCTTGTTTTGTGATCGTCTACTGGAAATCTTTTCTCTCTGAAGTATAAGTTTGTACCGAATTCGTAGTTGCCACAGTTGTATGCGATGTTTTTGGATAATCTTACCAAATTTGCAGGTTGCTTTTTGGAATTCTGTACTTAATGGTGTAACCTTCACTGATTTGGGAAAAAACATTACTTTCAAGTTATGATTTTTCTTATTGATTGGATCCGATTTGAAAGAATTTGCCATTGAAGATTGTATGTGGTGCCAATGTTAATTTCATGACTATATTCAATCAGATGTATGTCTTGTCGGAATCTAATATGTGAGACTGATTTTGGAACTTTTTACTGTCTTAAAGCAAAGTCATTTGATTCAGTTGTGCACAGTATGAAGTTATCAACTTTAAGTGCTTGATATGGCTTGTGAAGGTTTCTAGTATCACAATCACAGGGTGAATTGGCTGTCTCTTTGTTTTGTTTTTCAATGTAGAAATATATGGGATGACACTTCAAGAAGAATATGTTGCTGTTTGCTTAAATACTAATTCCATTAATTGTTTCTTCTTTGTTACATTCATCTGTTTTTTTACAAATTTACCAAGAGCTTATGTGAAAGTGCATTTTGAAACTTTAAATGTCTGAAGATTGTTTCTAATTTTCCTTATGCATTTGCATCTGTGAGGACATGTTTTGATAAAATTGCACCTTTAGTTGCTCTAAGTTTATTTATGTCCTTCCTATTCTGATGCATAATTTTGTTTGGCATCATCTTAGGATCTATACGGCTGAAGCTGCTCTTGCTTGGGAAGCACAGGCAATCATAGGATGAGCACTCAAGACAGGAGGGCTTTTCCGATGAGGTATACAAGGAATCAATCAAGAAGGAAGACGGTACTCGATGTAGATCTCAATGTGCCACCCCCATCTGATAATAGGGATCACGAAGGAACTTCAAGTCGTGTTGTTCCTGGGGATGTGCCACCTGCACAACGAGGTGCTTCTTCGACACCTGCCCCAATTGATGTTGAGGCTCTTGATGATGATGTGATGATAATTTCTTCCCCTAGGGCACTTGCAGAAGTATGTTCCTCTATCCAAATCCAATGATTCCCTTAATAATTTTTTTGGTGGTGTGTTATCTTGTGAATGCACTGGTATCTCAACCTTATGACTAATTATATTGGAGATCTTGGTTTCCCTAGGCAAACAACAGCAACATGAGGACTCGTGGACAGGTTATTCTTGTTGATGAGGATTCTGGTAATTTACTTTTCTCTTAAAAGCTGCACAGCTGTAGATCGTGTGTGCTCTTTTGTTGCTGTAAAACTTTATCTTGCTCTATATATCAAAACTTTCTAGTAAGAAATGGGTCGGAAGTACCTCACCTTGTCCCCTGTACTATTTTATCTGAATTTTTATCCTCTTCTCTTATGTTAAACAAAATTCTATTTTAGGTGCTACTTTAACGATGGTAAATTTTTTATATATTAGATATATAAGGTACTGTAAAACCTCATATTTTTAAGATAGCGATTAAATGTAGGATCTATAATCTATTTGTCCTCATTAAATATTTATATGTTCTTATAGAATGGAGCATTAAGTTGATGTTCATTGTTGAAATTAAATGCCATGTAGGAGAATGAGTGTCCTAAATGCTTACATTAGTATGAATATTGATTAAGCACAGTGGACATTTGCCAGTACTTACATAATATGCTGTTGTATTTTTTGTGATCTTTCCGCCTATGGAGGAAAATGGGAGGTGATGTAAGTACGATGAGATTATATGGACAATTCAAGGCATGTGATACGATTCTTTGAATCAGCATCAGGGTGGTTGTATTAATGCCATGTTGGGCACTTCTTTCTCCTTGGAGAGATAGACTTTGACTTTGGCTATTTCATTTGCCACCCTTGAGATTGGTCTGATTGACTTTTAATTATTGCAGAGGATCATCTGCCGATGTTTAACAGGCGCAACATGCGCAGAAGAGTCTCAACCAATCAGTCAACAATAATGGGTGACATCTACATAAACCTAGAAGCAAATAGCAGCTTACAGGTAACTAGAGAAGGTCTTTTTATGCTGTGCCGAATGTTCTTTACAGCATGAATGTTCTTGTTTCTCACTTATTAGAGATAAAATAAGGTAAATAATGAGTGTTCTTGTTCAAGTTTATTTCTTTCTCACTTATTGGCATTTGGCAGTAAAATAAATAAAATATGAGTGTTCTTGTTGAAATGATTTCTTTTCAGTTATATTCATAAAGTCCAGTATTGAAAAAGATCTATTGCCACTAGTGTTCACAGCATAACAGTGACGTGTCTTTTGCAATAAAGGGTGTTTGGTTTGGTCGCTTAGTTATTTCTTTTGACATGTATTATTTACCTTTCTTTCTGGCCATTAACTTTCAACGTACATGTAATCATTTTTGTGATCTTAGGTGCGTCTAGCCGGAAAAAAGAGAGTAAGACATTTGGTGTAGTCTAGAAGCTTAAACTCTTGCCACAATGCATCTTTTCCATATTTTTATGGCATTGCTAGATAATTGAATTATACGTTATATATGCTGCCTGAAAATGGAGAGTAAAGCATTTGTTGTAGTGTAGAAGCTTCAACTCTAGGCCAATGTACTGGTTTTATGGCCTTGTCAGCTAGTTGTGTTCTTTCTTAGCTTCTTATTTCAGGCCTACACTTGTTGGGTTTTTGAAGAAGTTTAATTTATAGTAGCTTGTTTCTTGATTTCAATCTGAATTCATCATTAGAAATGTCTTATTCCATTTCCAAGTTATTGCTTCTGTTGGAATCAGTTCTTTTCAATGTGACATTGCTAGCCTAATTATTGTTGTCATCTTCATGGACTTTCATCTATCAGTATATATGTGACCTGTTTAAGTCTGTTACTTGAAATCTTTTTATGCATGGTTTTTATTATTCCTTGTCATTGATGCCAGGCAGTCACTGCACAGAGTGCAATACCACCAAAGCCAATTGAACCTCCAACACCGCCAAAGCCAATTCAACCCACATTTAGCTGTCCAGTATGCATGGGAACCTTAGTTGAGGAGATGTCAACAAAATGTGGTCACATTTTCTGCAAAGCTTGCATCAAGGCTTCCATAGCTGCTCAGGGTAAATGTCCTACCTGTAGGAGGAAAATTACCATGAAAGACACCATAAGGGTGTATCTTCCTGCCGCAATTTGATATGATAAAGGTTTGTTTTCCTATCCCAACAAACTTGGGATAAAGTCCCATCTTCTTTTTGTAGTCATTTGGTGCATATTAAGCATGCTTTTGTAGCAGTTATCTTGTGTAAATCTAGTACTAATTTTTTTTTGTCATCCTTGAGCCACGGGTTCGTTGGGAACAGCCTCTCTACCTATGAGGTAGGGGTAAGGTTTTTGTACACTGTCCCTCCCTAGACCCTACTTCGTGGGACCATAGTAGGTATTTTCTTGGGGTAATCCTATTAAAGCCAAATGCAAGCCCTCGAAATGGTGAATGTACTAGATGATCATGCAAAGTAGTCCTGTTATGATTTTTTTCCTTCTGTTGTGGCTAGTGTTATAGTCATTATTATTATTATTATTATTATTATCATTATTATTATTATAATTTGGGGGAGTGGTGGGGGATTAACTGGTGTTACCAGTTTGTAACATGGTGAATGAAAAGGCAAACACGACATGAATTTATGAGTTGAGGTTAGGATCAATAGGTTCTGGTACAATGTTTTGACCCAATAGTGAGGCACAGTGGGTTGCACCAAAGTTGTTTGCCTTTCCATTTACCCTAATGTATTAATTCTTTGTCAGAAAGCTGGCAATTATGCTGCTTCAGAAAAAAATGCAGCTTTTATATAGATAAAATTCTCTTTTCTGAAATAGTATAGCATCAAAGTGAAAGTACTGGGCATGGAGTTGAAGAATAAGGGAGACACTGAATCCTAGGAGACTCATTTATAACATGGTAGACACTGAATTTTGGAGATCCACCTTCAGCACAACCAAATCACAACTGATATGTCCTGTATCCCATTGCCATCTTGATATGAATTCATGCTGAAGAATTATTTTGTATTTCTGTGGTGTTTTTTAAGTTTCTTATTTCCTTACGTAAGTTATTGCAGATAGAAAAATGCATTTTTCATGTCTCAACACTTGTATTGTTTGTTGCAGGGGGGTGGCCACCATTTTATATGGCCTGTGGAGGAATTACTTGTAAAGCCAGCTTGTTGTTAAACTAATATGAGTTGTGGAAATATCGGAGGTTTTGGGAGATGCATTGTTGGGTTCGAAGTATGAATTGGGATCACTGTTAGACTTGGATACCTTGGCTGTAGCTAATACCGTGCTCTTTTGTTTGCTTTCAAAATACTAGCTAGTGGAAACTATGGAGTTCTTGTACTTATGTTTATTACATTGTAGTTTTTGCTTGACTTAATTGCAGTTCCGAACTTAATTGTTCGGTCCTAATGATTATACTTAACTGTTAAGGGAGGAAATGAAAAAAGACTTGTTAGACATCATGCTGTTCTTGGGGTGATTTGTGATCGCAAAGGTATATCTTATTTTTGCTAGTAGCTTGTTGAAATGTTATGCTCTGAAGGTGTAGGAAATATTATATTTATATCAAATTATAAGCAGGTAGAGTTTGTCGTTATGGTTTAGAATGATATCTAACCTGGCAGAAGCTGGATCTATTGCCTTGCTCTATCTGAAATCGTTTTTGCTGGGGTTGATATTTGGATTAAAATTTATGGTGATAAGACAAGAATTTTTTTGAACTTTGTGGAGTCAAATTCGTCAATTTTTGCAAGTTAAATCCCACAGGTGCTCGGCCTTGCGCTGTGAGGTCCTGTTAACTTTTTCGACCTCCACTCCTCAGGAGCTTATTACTAACAAATAAATAGAATATATTTAGTATTATTATTTTTTTAAAAAAATGTTTTCAACTAATAGAGTTTGTTGCTTTTACTTCTACTGGCCTATGCAGATGATACCATCATTTTTTGTTGTATGTTTATGGAAACAATTAACAATGATAATTGATAAAACACTTTACAATTGATATATTATAAGGCTGCTGGTGATATTGTTCAACAAATAGAGAACAACATATGACATACTTGTTAAAGACACTCCCCCTTTTGCTTATTTTGGGTGTGCCATTAGACATGCTAGGAATAGAAAATGTTATCTTTCTGCACTATCGGAAAAGGTCTATAGTAAATTGTAAACCTGGAAAAGAAAGTAACTTTATTTTGAGGGAATATTTAGGGCCCGTTTGGATGGACTTAATAAAAATAGCTTTAAAAAAGTACTTTTGAAAGTGCTGAAACTTATTTTTAAAATAAGCAGTTATGCGTTTGGATAAAAGTGCTGAAGTTGTTATGCCAAACGTGAAAAGGGAAAAATAGAAGAAAGAGATGTTAGAGTTATATGGATAATTTGGATATTGTATAAAAATATTAAGGGAAAAAACATAAAAATATGGTCAACTTAAAACAGCTTATAAGCTAAAAAAAAAAAAGCACCCCTACCCCAACTTTTAACTTTTGGCTTAAAATAAGTTTTTTTTTTAACTTAAAATAAGCTGTTTTGAATATTGCCAAACAGTTAAATAAGTCAAAAACCAGCTTTTAAGTCAGTTTGACCAGCTTTAAAGCTGAGCCAAACAGGCTCTTAATCTCCTTAAAAGTATACTAGAAGGCATCCCCATCTATCTTTTTTCTTTCATCACTCCTCTTAAACATAATATACATGATTTAGAGAAAAGGGAAAACATTGTGGCTTGGGCTGATTTGTGCTTATCCAAAGAAGGGGGTGTCAGTTTAACATTGTTTTTTACGTTTCAAAACTGTAAGCTTTGATGAAATTTTAGAATTAATAAGTTGATGTGGTCCAAATTTTATGTGGAATAAATATTGCAAAGAGGCATAGACCTCAGATTGTTGAATGGAAAGAGAGTTCCTAAACTTGAAAATTCATGTTGGAAGCTAGAGATAACATAGATCAGCAAATTTGATGGGAGATTACGTGGTAAATATTCTGGTCTGGATAATTTGACACAAAAGGTTTCATGTTTTAGTACCATGTCAAGTAGTCATCTGTCTGCTCCCTTTGATTCCTAATAATCTTGAAGTTGGCTTCCGGTAGTTCTGCCCTAAAGGCGACGATTCTTGTTTCTTCTTCTCCTTCTTTTTCCTATCTATAATCACAATCACATACAGATAGAGGATGTTGGTCGTAACAACCTATTAGGTCGTTTTGAACACTAAAACATTTTTTAAAGATTTTTTTGTAAATTTTGAATGAAATTTTTTGAACTAAATTTATTAAATGATATATAATTTTAAATAGTAAATAGTGAGTCAAGTTTGAAACTAATTTAATAAAATATGACCCTTGGCCATGTATATTAGAATAAGTTAGTGAGATTTAGCCCTTCTGATTCATAATTATTATTATTTTAGAAGAGAGAAAAGAAATCTGGAAGAGCTCCTCCATGTTCAAGTCGACGAGGAACAAAAAAAGACATTAAACTAAAGCTCCAAAATTTTCCGTTCACAGCTTTAATTGCTGCATACTAATTAACAATCGATATTGTATTATATTGGTGGGTAAAGAATTGAATTACTAGCAATTTAAATATTCTAAATATATGTTGTAGTTTAAGTTGATTTCTGAAAACCTAAGGTCACAAAATCTATTAAGGGAGTAATTATTATGTGGTAATGATGGCTAAAGAATTGCCAACCATTGAAAGACATGAAATGTTATAAATGGATTTTAAATTTTAAGGTAAATGATCGATTTGCAGTTTGATTTCATGATTGCCGTAACTTGTTTCAATTTTAATTATTATTATTATTATTATTATTATTATTTTGTTATCATATTATTGTAATGACCAGTCAGTCATGTTTTATTTTTTCGTGGACTCTCGATATCGACCCAAGTCGTTTTTGATGAATTTTGAGAAGTTGATTTTGAACTCTCAGTTAAAAGTTGAGATTTTTGATAAGTTTTGAGTTTGAAATGTCAAGTTTTCAAGAAAGTGATTTTTTGTGTCTTTTGAAATTTTGAGTATCGGAATGGATTTCTGTGTATTCCATCAGACCCGAAATGTGAAATTTGATCCATGAGAGTTGTCGATTTTTGATTCCGAGTCTTTTTGAAGACTTGAGATCCAAAGTTGTGAAATTATGAAAATTTAGCCTTTGGGTTGACTTTGGTCAACATTCGGGGTTCAAATGCACGTATCGAGATTTCTAAAGTTCCATTGAATTTGAGGGATGATTTAGGCCTAGGTGAGGTTTTGGTTGATTTTGAAAGGTCCCGAGTTTGTTTAAACCTTTTTAGGCATAGGTTAATTTCTTATTATTTTCACGGATGTCGGGTCAAGCAGACCTCAGATTCCTGTTTTGACGGTTCCTTTGAGTTTGAAATACGGAGTATAATTGATTTGGATATGTGGTTTGTGTGTGCGGTGTTTCAAACGAATCCTGAGAGTCCTTTTGATATTTTGAGAGTTGGTTGATATTCTGATGCCTAAGTTTTGGTGCATCTCGACTTTTGTAAGAGTTGGATCACTTTTGCGAGGTTTGCTTCAACGAGGCTTGGTTCTCCATTGCGAAGGGTCTACCCCCGTTGACCTTCACATTTGTGAAGCAGCCATCGCTTAAGCGAGCTGAAACCCACTTCACTATTTTTGAACTTGGGGAACCTTCAGAGGCGAATTTTGAAGGGATTTCAGTGCTAGATCAGTGTGGTAAGTTCTCTTGATCCTAAACCTTTATTTTCCTTTGATTATTTATTTGAGATTTTGATTGGTACATGATGAGGTTTTTCATGAACCCAAATTCTTAGGTAAATGGAGATTTTGAACCGTTTTAAGACTTTTTTCGAGATGATTTTTCCTAATGAGTTCCTATAACCTTGAGTAATGTCTGCAAGTATTATATTTTGTGTTCAAACCTTACTTTTAGAATTGAGTTTTGTGTTGATTGACCACTTTCAAGAAGATTGCTAGGGATATTGTTGTTTCCAAAAAAATATTGTAAATACTTGATAATTATAAATTGTGTGGCTTCAAAAGTGATTCGTAGAGGAAGACTCAACTATTGGAGCAATTGTTGATTGATTTAAAACAAGTGACTTCCTAAACTTGTATTCTAGTTGGCTTCTTATGCTTCTTTCGTTGATTGCGTGTTGGGAATAATGAGAATGAATTGAAGGGGTTTAATTGTCCACTTGTTATATCTATTTGAATAAAAAGGGGTTGAAATGAAAATGGCTATATAATAAACACGATAGTGCCTTATTGTGACCCTTGATGGTTGATTGATGAAATACTTGAAAGCATGAATTGTGGACTTAAATTATGGACTTAAATGGTATGATTTGTTTTCTCTTCCATGTGCTGTGACATTGCTTGTATGCATTGATTATGAACATTGTAATGAGACATGCGGTGAGTTATCTTTCCAAGGTTTTTGTTAGTGAGTGTTATTTTGCCCAGGCCTTTAGAGGCGACTGTTTTAAAACTGAGATCTTTGCCGATGAGTGTTATTATGATGATGTCTTTGCAGGCGAGTGTTGGTATGCGGAGGTCTATTCTGGCAAGTGTTATAAAGCCAATGAGAAATGGTTCCAACAAGAGATTGATCATTGTGACTTGATACACTTGATGCTTATACATGACTTCCTTATAGATTGTGATTGATGTACTTGTTATATGTGATTGAACTACTTGTCATTAAGCTTGACTTATTTGATTTGTTTGATTGTTGAATCGTAAATATTGAACTATGAATATTGGGCCTATGAGCTGTGTATTGTAGAATTTCTAGGTTGGGATGATTTCTGTGTAGGTTTTTAGTTTGAGGATGCTCAGTTGGAGTGTAAGGGGTATTTGATTTCTAGCTAGTTTCTTTGTTTAGTAGGTTGCTTTCTAGGTACCATGTTGCTTTTACTCACCCCTTGTTTCTACACTTGTAAAGGTTTTGAGCCTGAACCTATACGATCTCTTTCTCCTTCTCTTGATCTTGAGGCTAGTCGAGGACTTGAAAAGGTAGCTGATTATAATTTGACGGACCCTTTTTTTCTTTTTTCTTACACTTTCTTTTGTATGATAAATAGAGATTAAGACTTATATCTATTTATTAATCCCACACTTATGTATTTAGTGGCTTGTACACGTGACAACCAGATTTTAGGGGTTCAAATAAAGGAATATGTTTTTTGCTTTACCTATTCTTGATTTTACTATTTTCCACTTCTATTTCATTTTCATTGGGTTGAGGTTAACTTGTTTTGATGGGAAAATGTAGGTGTCACCACATCAATTTTTGGGTCGTAACAAAATGATATCAGAGCCTAGGTTCATAGGTCTCATGTGTATACAACACAAGTCTAATTAGAGCCTGAAAATCAGTATAGAGACGTCTGTACTTATCTTCAAGAGGCTACAAATTTTTGTAGGGAACTTTCTTTTATTCATCATTTCTTATTTCATGGTTACC